TGTTTCGGCCATTATCACTAGACACCCTCTTCCAAGGAAGGCCCTCCCAAGGTTGATCACGCCTTGGAGTGTGTCTCTAACTAAATAAAATTACAGTAATTAATTCATGCCTATCTGGGTTTTAATTTTTAAAGTTTCAAAGGGCCAATCAGGCCCTGTTGGGTTCAGTCCAAATCCAACGAGTATCCGTGACTTTGTAAAATCCTAACGTTATTCATTTTATCTTAATTTTAATAAAACCATCTAAGATCAAGCATTTCTGTTGCACCGTTAATTGTTGTGCACCTTTAATGAAGTACTTTATTGTTGAGTCGTATTTTAAATTTTAAAGAGCAAATGAAGCTCTGTTTGGGTTCATTTAAATCTAACGTATATCCGTGACTTTGAAAATTCCCCTCATTAACTTATAATTATCCCAGCTTCTGCAAATATAAAGTATTATTGCCGTTATATAGTTGTTTCTCCTTCATTCGTTCTCTATATTTGTTACCTTTTATTCTCACTTACCTGTATCTTGTTCTTCAAACGAGGCCTCCTCCTCGATCTGTGTCTGTCCCCTGCTCCATGTGCTCCATGTGCTCCGCCTGGTCTGACTTCCTGGTTCCCATCATGCTCTTTGTCGGTATCCTGGGCAACCACTTTTGTGTCCGTGAACTGCCATTTTGAAATCCGCCATCTTGTATCCCCGGTAACCATTTTGATTACAGTTGCCATCTTGGATCATTAGCTTTAGCCGTAGCTCAATGTTAGCTTCTAAATTAGCATCAATGAAATTTAATATAAAGTTGAATAGCCACATGTACATGTTGTCCTTTGTCAAGTTTTACTGCCATTTAATTATTAGCATTAGCTTAGCTTTAGCATTAGCCTTCCGCCATTTTGTAACCGAGGGCGACCGTGTTTGTTTACTACGAACCGCTATGTTGGATCTGGATAAGCTCCTCCACCATCTTGGGTCCTTGTGTCTACCACCTGCTCCATGTGCTCCATGTTTTTTTTTTTTTTTTTTCCCCCATACTTTAATTAAATTTATGCACATATTACAATCTCTCGTTGGGAGACAACATTAGTGCAACAACATCTTGAAAAGGTTGAATAACGTTGTATTCACCACAAATAAACCCATCTAAAAAAGAAATTGATCAGTTTTTGGACAACATAACTCTTCCAAAATTATT